CTTCTTAACGGGCGGCGCGAGGCGGCGGGAGCGTTGTGCCGGGTGGGCTGCTGCGAGCCGGGCTGCCGCGAGACATGAGCGAGGTGAGCGGCCGTTGAGGCGGGCTCGCGGGGTGGGGGGGAAGAGAGCGCCGCAGCCCCTCGGAAAGCCGGCCGGGGAGGCTGGAGAGCGGGGGGCGCTTGGCGTTGAGCGTAACCTTCCCTTTTCGAAGGGCGGCTGGGGAGGGCCGGGTGCTTCCCGGGCGGGGAGACCGCTGAGGGTCGGCTGGGCTCGCAGGCAGAGCTGGTGGACCTGAGCGGTGTCTCTTCGCTGGGTGGGGAGTCTGAAATCCGTAGCTTCTCTTCTGTTCAGCCCTGTCTTCTGATAAACGCATCTCCTCCACAGGTGCATGTGCTCCTTCGATGCATAAAACAAGGCAGTCTTTTGTCCTTTGAAGGACCGTGCACACCAGTGAAGAATCCCTTATTGAAAAAACCCCAATAATTTACAGATGCATTTAATGCTTTCCTATGCAGAAAGAAGGATGTGCGAAGTTGTGTGAAAGTTATCTGCTAGAGATCTTGGGAAAAAATGCCACGTTTAGAGTTGGGTGTTGATGTAAACTTTATAAATAGTGTCTGGGGAAGGACTGCAATTAAGGAAAAAAATGTAAATAGTGCCAAACATGTAAGGATCACTTGTGCCCTTGTAAATAAATAAGTGGAAAATTTTCACTGTGGGTTTTTTGCAGTGGAAGAGTTCTCTGGGGCAACCTAGTATTTTTGTTAAAGGTGGTGTCAGGTGTGATGGCTACTTGATAGTGCAGTCAGTCAAATGCTGGGCAGGTTCAGCTGGCAGATCCCTCGTTCTCTAGCGCAACTCTTTCTTTGGGAATCCGTAGAGATACCTGTAACTACATCTTACCCAGCACCTATTTTTGGAGGCTATTTGCTGTTATACAAGACTTGCTGCTTCATTAACAAATGGGTATTCTGTTCTTAGCAGCAAGAGTAAAATTCAAGAGCGATGCCAAATAAGTTTTGACTAGTTGCTGTGCAGGTGTTACTCAGCTGTATTTTTAGATGAGGTGTAAACCTGAGACAAAAAGCAGTGGAGTAGCATGGTCTCTGGTGCAGGGATTTATGAGGAGAAGCTTACATCTTGGCTTGCAGGTCAGGCCAAATGGGGAAAGCAGAGGAAATCCTCATTGTGCTTTTTCTGCTGCTTGCAGGGATCAGGCAGTCCAGGTGTAATGCACCAGGCTGTCCATGACTTCTTCTCAGCTGCTGCCTGTATTTATATCAACTGGATAAGAGTTCATGCACCATGGGGTTTCTTTTGCAGTCACTGTCCCTTTGCCACCTAGGCTATCTGAAGTGTTCTGTGAGATACAATGCTATTCTGCTCCTTAAAGATAGCATTCGGGGGGGGGAAAAAAAAAATCTAGTAAGGAGTAATGATTGGGTGACACTGCTGTACTTACTGTAACTGTACGAGGCACTCTTGTTATTGCCCTGTGCTGGGTTGTATTTGCTCAGTAATTACCCCTTCATAGTTTGAATTAGATTGCTTGCCTTTTGGATTTTAAGTCCTGGATGAACATCAAGATCCTCCCCGATACCAGCATAAGGGCTCTCTATTCATAATACATTTCCTTGTGCCTCACAGAACAGTATTCCTAGCAAACCCTCAGAGCTGGAAGATGTCTCTTGCTTTGGCACAGCACTAAGCCCTGTACACATGACACTTAGCACTGTACTTGGTGTCTTCAGTGCTACTGTCATTTGACTGACGTTGGAGAGTTTGTTGCTCACAGCTCCACTGGAGAAAAGCTTCCTTGCTGTTATTTGCCTGTTAGCTATTAATCAAAAGATGATTCTTTTTCCACAAGGCAGATGGAAGCAACTGGACCACCCCAAACCATCTCACTGAAAAAGACTGTTAAAAAAATGAGGCAAAAAAGATTAGCAGAAAGCAAGCTCCTTAGACATCTGTTTGCTGTATTTGGATGGGGTCTCGGTGGATTTCAGTTGTAATGCTGTAACTGAAAAATATTTTTATTTTCTTTGTTTTAATCTGCTAGAAAATCTGAGGCCAGAGTGATTGAAAAGAGGCTCAAGTAGAGCCATCAAAAGATTATCCTAAATAGAATGGTATTGGGAGGGTGGGAAGGGTTTTTTTGCTTTGTGCTAACAATTGTCGGGATTTGAGTGGAGCTTGAAATGCGGTTTCAGAAATCTCTGAAGAGAGCTTTTGTATCCCTCAAGGTATTTCCTGAGATGTTGCATGAGTTCTTATTTTACTGCTTCAAGCAAAATTAACTTATTTCCTGTTTATGGGCAGTGATTACCAGTCTCCTGGTAGAGAAAACTGAACAGGAAGCAGCTGTTCATCTGATGAGTACTTTCCTATTTTCTAGCAGCTAACTTTTTTTTGAGTAAGGATAAAGAACTTTTCTACAGAAAAACCCTACACTTCCTTTGCAAAATTTGTCTGAAAATGTGTTTAAGATGCTCTGTCTTCTGGGCAGAAGTCTGGTCCTGTAACTAGTTACAGTGAACTTGAGGTACAAGAGTTTACCTGCAAAACATGGTTAGTGCTTCCTGCTGCTTAGTTTTCATGGCAGATGGATCACTTAGGTGTATGGGGAACTTCTCAGGAATGTCCTTATATACTGAAATACATTTTTAGGTGTTGAAGTAGCTTTGAAAGTATGTCCTCAAATAACTAAGGAGCCTTTTCTTTAGGTCTGCAGGTGTTTTCTGTTATTTTTAATGAGCCTAGAGAGAAAAGCCATGCTGGAAAATATCAGCTACTGACAGTGAGCACCCATGAGATGCAGCCCTTCTTCCATTAAAGATATGTGGTCACATAGGATTAACTGGGGGAAGTAATCTTGGGCAATGGGCTCATAGACCAATGCCAAATTGCTATTCACAGCCAGTAGCTTTACCAGAGAGCCTCTAGGCTCAAACTGGCATAAACTTGATTCACCAGAGGGAATCCTGTCATCAGTCATTTTCATTTAACTATCTGACATGTTGCAGATGATGTCTGGTCACAATGACAGTGCCTGGTGTGAAGGTTCATAAGCATTTCATCACACAAACATTTTTATGACATTCACTGCCACTCTTGCCTCCTGTGTTGAACGATTCTGGCTGTCATCAGGAGTCAGGTGTGGTTTTGGGAAGGAGTGCACTTAAATAATATGGTGTTACAGCTCTGGATGCTGTTCCAGGGGTTCAGGGATGAAGCACATGTGTAAGGATTTGGAGCTTAAAATAGCATTAGCAGAGATTGCCTTGTTGGATGCATTTATTTCCTTTTGATATTAAAATGTCAGAGTGATATTGCTGGTGTAGGAGAGGAGTTCAGCTTTAACATGTGTTATTTAGATGTCTGACTTTGGGAGAGCCATTCAGGAAATCTACCTAATCAGTCCATGTGCCTGAGGCACCAGTGGTTTAAGAGAAGAACTTGCATTGCAAGACCCTTGCACAATGTGAGTGAAGTGCTATACTGATTGCCAGGGTGCTGATGCACACCACCTAAGGCAGGGTTTGAGACAGCAGGTTTATATATTTGAGGAGCAGCCTAGCTGCCAGACAGTAGCAAGAATATCCTAGCTTTCGTTTCAATACAGGCAACAACCAACCAGGCACACAAAATTCGTAAGACAGAAGAGGGGAGCTGTTAGGAGTTTGACTCTGTAGAGTGCTTAGGTCTCTTAGCTGGGGAGGCTAAGAGGTGGGGACTTGATCTCTGCATAAATGTAGGGATTTTTTGGTCAGGCTTTGAATACAAAGAACACTAGGTCTTGTTTCTTACTTTAAGTACAGCAAGCTCTTTACCTTTGCCTTATGTTGCCTCAGGGCCCTTGAATCCTTCAGCAACTGCTATGTTGTGTCTACGTTCAAAAGGATCATGAAGGGTGCTCTTGTGACCTGTAACAGGGGTGTGTAGGGTGTTCATGGAGGATGAGCTGCCACGTGGGGCATGTTCATCCAGACAGCTCTCCTCTGGAGCCTGGAGTACTGAAGCATTGTTTTGGGGCTCAGATCACCTTCAGTGGGAGGCACCCAGGCAGACAACTCGACAAAGATGGAGGCTTCACTGGAAAGGTGACATGGCTGAACACTGGTGTCAAAGACTTTCTTCTGAAATTTGAGCTTCTCCAGCCCTTGGGGAGGGGTGTGTGTGTGTCTAAGATGCTAATATCCAAGGCAGTCTCTGCTATGGCTATTTTCAAAACTGGTAATACCATATGGCCTGGTGGTTTGGGCATGCCTCTAAGCTGGCAGAGTAACAGACAGTGTCTTCTTCCCTCCAGGTTGAGGGAGAACCTGGAACATGTCTCTATCACTCTGGACAAGTGTGGTCACCAGGAGACTGTTAGAGAAGGAGAGGGACATGGCCAAGTGTGAAGCATTAGGCATATGTGGAGGCTTCTGCCTGAAACTGTAGCTGCTTCAGGTTGTTAAATGGGAAAAGTGGGGTTCTTTCATGGATTGGTCTCCTGAATTCAGTTGAATCTTTTCCACTGAAATGGTATTTAGTGTCTTAGAACCAGTTGTACTAAGCACTGAGGTGAGGACTGTACGCCAATAATCCTGATAGCACTAAATCAAAGAGCTGCTGTTTGTAGGGAGAAAACATGCCATATTTGTTCAAGGGATCTACTGTTCTCTTGTGTGATGCTTGCAGTCCAGTGGAGTGTCTGAGCCCACCAGTCATCTTAGGGGGGCCCTTCTGGATGCATTTTTCAGACACTGCCATGACCCCCAACTGTTGACTATTGGCTTCACTGAGGTTATACCCACAACAGGTCAAAACTGTATAGATCGAAGAAGTGCAGCAAGAATGTGGCAGGATGGAGGAAGAAATTCTGCAGCTGTTATAGGATGGGGGTGGGACAGATAAGGAACATGAACACCAGTTTTTAATTTTAACTCGCATCTATTTATTAGCTGGGTGGTAAATTGCAGCTTAAAAGAGGAGGAAGAAAGGAGAACAATAAGTTTTAGATCTGTCACTTTGCCTACTCCTTCCATCAGTGTGGTTTCAGTGGGATCAGGCACTTTCTAAAATAGCACTTAAAAGT